CCCCCCCCCCCCCCCCCGCCACACCGTCAGTCAGTCCATCGTGCATCCATCGCCATTTGACACATCTGCCTGCCGGCCTGCCGGCCTGCCTTTTGTGTGAGCAGCCCAAGTTGCCCTCGATCTGCTCCAAGAACGACAGTCCCTCGCCTGGACCCAATCTCGCCCCCGTAGGCACAGCACACATCATCCATTCCACACCACAGCTGATGTAAGTAACACACAACGAGCCTGCACACTCCCTCTCTGTCTCTCTCTGTGTGTGTGTCTCTCTCTGTGTGTGTGGGGCGTGGGGGTAGGTGGTGGATGCTTCCAGAATGACGCCGACATAATCAACATGCTAGCGGCCAGAAGCGGGCAGGGTGTGATCATGCCCCCCAGCAAGGGCAAGATCAACTCGGGCGGGGGGTTTCCAGGATTTACACCAGCCTCAATAAGACCACACCACACCACACCTAACACCACACCACACAACAGATAGGTAGCAGCAGCAGCAGTGTTGTCCTGATGAACCACGGGCAGCAATTGATTGCATCATCCAGCGGCCTGTGTGTGTGTGCACGTGTGTGTGTGTAGGGTACGGAGGAGGGCGGAGCGGTCGTCCAGTTCAATGTAGAGTGCGGAGAAACGGTGGAGGGGCAGCAGGTCTTCGCGTGCGAGCCGCACGAGCTGGGCAACCTCAACGGGGGCGACGCGTTGAACCTCGCCAATGCCGTGCCGCTTAGGACATCCTCTGAGGTCTACCCCAAGTGGACATCCGAGCCAGTCGTCCTCAAGACCGTTCCCCAGACCGGCCACTTCAAGTACAAGTACTACAAATACGACCCCAACACTGAGGGGCACACCTGGGAGACCACCTATGGCGCAGTGCGCCAGCATCGCACCATGCCCGTCAAGATGGGCCATAAGACCACCCAACACGACGTATGGGAGGTCGTCCAGGCCAAGAGCACCACCTACGATGAGCTGGTCCGAGGTGGGTAGGTGGATTGACGAAGGGAGGGAGGGCGGGCGGGCGGATCTGTATGTGTGTGCGCACAACATAATCCTCTGTGCCTGTGTAGCTGTTCCCAAGAGGGCCATCGAGGACGACAACGAGTCAGAAGGCCCCAAGAAGGTGCGGCACCGCACCCACGACAACCAACAGCTGACGCGTCCACTATACTCTTGTTTGTGTGTTCTGTCTGTTGCGCTGGTGGCCGGATGTGCTGTGCTGTGCTGTAGCGGGGCCGTTTCGAGGACGAGGTAGCCGTAGCTGCTGCTGCTGTGCAGACCGACACGGATCATCAGGTAAGTAAGGTTCGCATCCGTGTGTCTGTGTGTGCTCATCTTCATCTTTTGGGTACTCGATGCCATTCACCTCATCAGGCCTCTGCACATGGAATCCAGGCTCACGAGGAGGCCGGCGTAGAGGTATGTGGGCGGGCGACCATGTGGCAGGCAGATGTGTTTTGTTCTACTCTACACACCGTCGCCCTCAACTGTGTGTGTGTGTGTGTGTGTGTGTGTGGCCGTCAGGAGGAGGGTAATCTGGGCGAAAAGTTGGTTGAGGACGGGGAGTTGGTTGAGGACGTTGGTTGAGGATGGTGTTGAGGACGAATGGTTGAGGACCAGAACACTGGTCGCTGGTGTTGGGCCCTGGCGCCGAGCTGGATGGAGAGGGAGGCGGAGACGACCAAGCCGAGGCGGAGGAGGCGTCACGAGAGGGGGGAGGGGAGGGGGAGGGAGACGAGGAGGAGCAAAACGAGATTATCGAGGGCTGGTTCAACCTGCGGGGCGAGATGCGTGAGGATGGGCTGCTGCGGGGGGAGGGCAAGGGGGAGGAGGTGCTGATCGGCGAGCCGAGTGTGTCGTACGGCCTCGGGATGATCAACTTGCCGCCATCAGAGGCCGCCCACTCATCGACACCGTCATGGAGATGGCAGGGCCAGAAGCCGACCCGGAGAGGATGGAGCTGCTCATGGGGATGGAGTGGGAGGAGGCGCGGAGCTCCTTTATGACCGACACAGGCCAACCCCTGCACCACGGGCAGCCTTCTCCGGCTGTTGAACCGTGTCCTGAGGGCCATCTCGTGCATCTGGGGCTTCTGCACCCCTCGGTCTGCGGAGGAAGTGTACCTCATAGAAAAGCTGGGCGAGGCAGTGAGTCCTTGTAATGTACCAAGCGCCGCATACGCTTTCACAATCTTTTCTCTCTCTTGTTCTTGTTGTGTGCAGGTTGTGCATGCGGGCTGTCGTCGGTCATCGATCGCCGCCTACATTTTATATTTGCATGTCTCGTCCGACATTCGGCTACGTTCTCACGGCCTTTCACGTCGTTGAGAGACGCCAGCAGATGAACACCGGCAGGGCGGAGAGGGCGGGGGATGCCGCCCCAATGGAGAAGTCGAGTCGTCCAACAAGAAGTTGAAACGTCGAGGAAGACATCTTGGCCGTCCAGTGCCGCCCACCCACACAGCGCCCTCCCAGGGTCAGGAGCTTTCCGATGCCTCGCCCAACAGGGTGCTCGACTCCCGACGTCGCCGAGCTGCCAAACCCCTAACCGCCCTCCTAGGGTCAGCCGTCCATGATGATGGAAGATGCTCGGGGCGGCGGCCAGGCCTCCCGTGCTAAGAGGGCCATCCAGGCAGAGAAAAAGACGTCAGGCCAGGGGGTGGAGGAGGGACACCGGCAACAGGGAAAGGAGGACGGCGTAGAGTCGCCGCCAGCCAAGAGGGCCAGAGCAGAGCAGGTCGGCGTCAATGGCTCGACAGCGGCAGCAGCTGCTGCTGCTTCTTCCCAGGACCACACTGCAGCAGCCCCCGCCCCTCTCTTGACCAACGTGGCCAGCAAGGCGCCCCCTGCCAACAGAGCCGCCATGGCCGCCGAACCTGACGCCCACATGGCGCCGGCAGACAGCAGCGGGGAGTCGACCCCCAGGGCGGAGACCACACCCTCGATCCCCTGCACATGCCAACCTTACAGACAGGTGAGAGACACACGCACGCCTCACATGTGTACATGCGTCCTTTGATGAATGCTTTGTCTTGGTGTGTGCAGGCGGTTTCTGGTCACGTGTGAGAAGCAAGCAACGTCTCTTCACGTTACCTCCAGAAAGCAGCGTGTTGGCGACGTCGTCCACAGCGCATACGATTCCCTCCTCGCCACCACCCCCAATCCAATCTCGGTCAGTCCTCGGTCAGTCGGCCGGCCATCACACATTCATCGCAATCGACACACGGCCACCCATGTGAATGCGTCTCTGTCCTGCCTTCAGACCTTCAGACGCGCATCACACGAGTCATCTCCAAGAATGTCTTCCCCCCGCAGTGGCGTTGAGATCGATCGCCGCCTACATTTTATATTTGCATGTCTCGTCAGACATTCGGCTACGTTCTCACGGCCTTTCACGTCGCTGAGGGACACCAGCAGCTGAACATCGGCAGGGCGGAGAGGGCGGGGGATACCGCCCAAATGGAGGAGGACGTCATCTTGGAGGGAGGTGGAGACCGCCGACTGGCGGATGTACAGCAGGGAGAGGGAGATGGCGGTTGGGTGGGCGGAGGGATGTGGTGGTGCCCGGTGCTGACGGCCATGGGGCCGAGGCGGCCACGAATGCGGTAAGGAAGCGACAGCAGCAAAGTGAGTCCTCCCCGCATTCTCAAGAGCGCTCTTGTGTTGGTCTTCTCATGCCTTTTGTCGTGTTGTTCACGCAGGTGCCCTTTACCTCAGCTGTGCCTGAGGCCGACCATGAGAGGAGGGCGGCGCCGGGGCCCTTTCCTGGCCAGACTGCCTTGTCCAGCGGCCAGCAGATGGACTTAGATGCCAGTCGTGGTGGGGGCGATGGTGGTGATGGGTCGGCAGCCGCTCCTTGTGCGGCACATGACCATGCAGCTCCATCCAATGCACAATCAGCATCGGTACGACAGCAAGAGTCCACACACACACATGAAGGGTAACTCGACGTCCTTGGTGTCCGTGAGTGAATGCGCAACGCAGGCGGCGAATGCGCAACGCGACGACACAGGCACGGCGGACGGAGGCCAGGCTGTACGAGGCCACGCTGGCGTGACGGAGGGGGGCGGTGATCAGCAGTCTGTCGCCAACCTCAGGACGGTGCAAGGGGTGCCCTACAGCGCCTCGCGCGCTGCACTACCGCCTGGGCCCTGCTGCGTCTACCCATTAATGGTGGTCAAGAGGTGCAACACCAGCAACGAGATCGCCTGCCACGCCCTGATGTCACTCCGAGGCGTCGCCCCCTCTGCGCCGCTCCCCGACACACCGATCGGTCCGGGAGTCGCGCCGGGGCTGATCAGCTCCTGCTGGCGCGATTCTGCGGCATGAGATCCGCTCACGACTGCGAGGCCAACTACTGCGCGTATGCCCCCTTCATCGCTTACCAACACGAGGCACAGCAGGCCGGCACGGAGGGCATTCAAGAAGATTAGCAGGGCAGGCCGGCTCTGCGCGTGAGGGGCCTGGAGGCGAACGAGTTCGTCATGATGGCCGTTCCTGCCCCCTGCTGGAGCTCTTCGACGAGCCGGGCCTGCAGTGGACCAAGAGGTGGGTCGACATCCTCGCCGACATATCCGAGAAGGCGGCTCTGCGCGTGAGGGGCCTGGAGGCGAACGAGTTCGTCATGATGGCCGTTCCTGCCCCCTGCTGAGCTCTTCGACGAGCCGGGCCTGCAGTGGACCAAGAGGTGGGTCGACATCCTCGCCGACATATCCGAGAAGGGGCTGCGGCAGCGGCAAGGCGAGCGGCCCAAGCTCGAGTAGATCGAGGACAGCCTCTTCGCCGCGCTCGAGCTCCTCGAGCCGGTGGTGGTGCCCCCGCACCTGCTGACGAGGTGCCCGTGCAGATGGGCATGCCCGAGGAGAGAGGGACAACAGACTGTAGGCAAACACGGATGAGAGCACCAACTAGAGCAATGCATCTCGGTCACTCTTATGTGTGTGCGTGTGTGTGGGTGGGTGTGTGCCTCTCAGAGCGTGTGTGTGAGAGATCCGATGACTCGGAAGGCGAGACGGCGCCAGGAGGCTCGGGCGGATCCCCGGCGTCGGACCCCTTGATGCCACCGCATCACCGTCCCCATCACCACCACCCGCCCCACCTGCGTCGCCCAACACACAGCCACCTCCATCACCGCCTCCCCACGACGCACCAGACGAGGCCGAGCCCGCGGAGGCACACCCGTCACCACCCACCCTTACAGCAATGCCGCCACACACCGAGGCCAAGGACGAGATACCGCCCTCACCGACCACACCCCCTCTCGTCTACGCCACGCAGCCTGCCGGCGAGGCCACAGAGGAGACGCCACAGCCCGCACCAGATACCCCTGCTTCGCGGGCTGACCAAACCCAGCACCTACCGGCCGCAGCCACGCAGGAAGACCCCGGTGCATCCGCTGCCCCGCGCGCCGCCGCCAGAGAGGAGACACCGCAGCCACTACCACACATCCCATACCCGCCGGCCGCAGCCGCGACGATGGCACCACACCACCCGGTCCATCCCCTGCACCACGCACACCACACGCAGCTGTACCAGCTACCGCCCTCATCCCCGCCCACACTCCCTCCTGTGCCGTTGATGTACGGCACCAACATGGCGGCCCACCAGGTGCATTACAAGTTCGGCCACGCCAAGGTCGTCACCTCCCCCACCTGGCGGGCGGCAAAGTCGAGGACGGGTGGCACAAGAACCCACTGACGGCGCAGTGGGAATGGTGGGAGGAGAGCGACGAAGGAGAGGGCCAGTACGAGATCAGGGGGGCCTGTGTGCAGGTTGTGCATGCGGGCTGTCGTCGGTCATCAATCGCCGCCTACATTTTATATTTGCATGTCTCGTCAGACATTCGGCTACGTTCTCACGGCCTTTCACGTCGCTGACAGACACCAGCGGCTGTGGTGAGTGAGTGGGTGAATGAGTGAGTGAGATGGGTTGGTTGGCTGCTCTGAGGGATGAACGATAGATGGATGTTGGACAAAATGAGCTTGATTCAAGTTACTCCATGATGGGTCAGGCACTCACAAACAGCGAACGGCCGTCTGTCTGGGGGGGACACCGTACACACATGTCGGCCACTGAGAAGCCTCTGTCGACATTCCGCATTCGTCACGGCCTCTTCTTGCGCATCTTCTCCAGCCTCTCCTCCTCCTGCACACATCACACAGGCCACAGGATCGTACACGAGGCACGCAGGCGCATGCCACCCATTCGCAGACCACCCACCATGATCTTCTTGAGCTCCTCTGCGTCTTCCTTCTGGGCGATCTTGGCACTGCACACAACACACACACACACACACACACGAGGATGTCTGGATGTTTGTGTGGACGTCTGGAGTGTGATGTGATCTGGTGCGGTGTTAGTTAAGAGTGCGCACCTGCGTTTGTTTTCCGCCTCTTCCCGGCCGAAGTTGGACACCTGAATGTCACCGTCACGGCCTGCAGAGGCGTGAACCCATGACGACAGTCAGTCAAGGATGCTGGGGTGCTTTCCTCGGTTCGTTCGGTGCAGATGCATGTACCTTCGAATCTCCTCGGGTCGTATCCCGTCAGACTCCGCAGCTGCTTCTTCCAATCAGCTGCAAAAGCACACAGACACACACAGACATCCGTGCCTCTCATACCGCCCGCCCACCCAGCCACTCACTCACCATCCTCCTCGTGTCCGTCGACGATGAAGTCTGCCAGATCGTCATCGTCGTCATACTCGTCCTCGTACCCGTACCCGCCCCTCCGCGACCCCTCACGGCCATCACGCCCACATCTGGAGTCGCGATGAGGAGCAGCAGCAGGAGGGGGAGCACGTTGGCGATCGCGCCCCATCGGCCCACCACCAGCAGCACGACCTCCATGAGCCGGCCCTGACGCCCGGTAGCGGTCGTCTCGCCTGGACTGTGCCGGGGCGTCCCTGGCGCTTGGCTGTGTAGAGGGCCGGCCATGAGCCGGCGCGTTCTTGGAGACGGCCAACGGAGCATCTTCTCGAGAGCGTTTGCCGAGCATTGACGGCGGCCGAGAGGGGTGGGGGTCAGAGGGGCGACTGGCGGCAGATGGTGCGGGGGCGGTCCTCCTGTGGCCGGTGTCATTCTGGCGTGGGGCCTTTGGTGCAGATGGGGGAGCCGGCAGGGGGGTGGCCAGGACCTTCTTGCGCTCTGCACGAAGCTGCTGAAGCTGTCCAACACACATCCAACACACACGCACACAGAGAGAGAGATGAGAAGCCGTGTGTCAGGCATCGACCAGTGTGTTTGTGTCGGGTGGTGATTGACTGACCTTTGCGCGCTTCTGTGTGTCGTTAGGTTCGTTGAGTAGGTCTTTGGTGATGAGATCCATCTCCTTGTCGATCTTGGCCACCTGTCCATCGATGCTCTTCTGGTGCTCCTTCTGACGCCTCTTCAGCTCCGCTGCCGGGTCCTGACCCACACACAGGCCACAGACACACGCAGAGACCGACGTCAGTCTAACTGCATGTTTATGATGCCGTGCCTGTGCCCGTGCATCAGCTCACCTCAGCCGTCTGACCCTTGTCCTTCTTCGACTTGCCACGCTTGCCGTCGCCATCTTCTGCAGCATACAGCAACGCGACACACACATAGCAGGAACCCTTTCCATCCATCCATCCGTCCACCCCCCCTCTCTCTCCCTCACCTGTGTCGTCTGGTTTGGCCCTCCGTAGGACGGGTATGATTTTGAAGGACTGAAGTTTCTGCTTGGGTTGCTCTGGCTCGAAGGACGGGAGGTTGACAGGGCCGCTCGATGGGGCCACCTTGGCCTTGCCAAGACCAGCAAGCACCGCCAGCGACATCAGCACACCCAATCACCGACCACGGGCAACAGACAGTCACAGTCGGGGGACTGACGGGAAAAAGGGAAAGAAAAGAAGTCAGCAGAGCCAATCTCGTGCTCTCTGCAGCATGCGCATGCAGTCTTTCCTTCGCCTGCCTCTCTTCGGTCAGGCAACTTGAAGGCAGGTGTTGTACGTGTCTTACCATTGGTCTTACGTGCCGAGCTTTGAAGGAAGAGCTTGTCCCTCAAATGTGCCGCAGAAAGCACAAAGCTTGTGCGGACTTCCGTGTAGGGTGGTTTTTAAGTTCGCATTTGGGCGGCTCCTCACTGCGAGCTAAACCCTGCCCTTTGAAACCCTGCCACCACTAGCCTTGTCAACGAGCCTTGTCCTGTCAACATCGTTCGAATTGGCGAATCTGCCGAAGCCACAGCTTTGCAGCGGTTGGACAGCATCATAGGTTCGTCCGCGGCGACGTCGGCCCGTCCGACTCACTCTCCCTCTTCTCCCCCTTCCTCACCCTCACCCGCCCCTCATGCTGCCACATCCCATGCCACTGCACCAACAGCAGCAGCAGCAGCAGCGGCATCGCCATCGAAACGAAGGCGGCTAAGGCTGTCGGCGGCCTCGCTGCGGTACTGTCTGTTTGTCATCTTCGGCGCGTGTTGGGTGGGGCTGCTGCTCGTCACGGCCGTGCTTGCAGCGTCGCGATGGAATACGCCCAGTGTCCATGCGAGCGGCGGCCATGATGCATCCGAGGTGATGCTAGATGGGTCAGTGGGGGAGGGGACTGTGCTTGTGCAGGAGGGGAAGGAGGGAAAGGTGTACAGTGATGATGGCCCTGGAGAGGTGGCTGGTGAGGCGCCGTCACAGTGGTGGCCATCGACGATTTATGCGCTGGGCGACATCCACGGGGACGCCATGAACACACTGCTGCTGCTACACGCAGGTGGGAAGGGCAGACAGAAGAGGGGCTGGAGGTACAGATGTGAGCACACACGTGTGGATCTTGGTTGGTTGGTCGGTTGGTGGTGTGTGTCATGTCAATGCAATGCAGCTGGGGTGGTGAATTCGTCTGCACACTGGATAGCCAAAGACGCACTGCTCATCCAGGTGGAGAAATGGGCACGCTGAAGCTATTCCGCGATGAGCCCATAGCTGTTTTCCCCTCCCCTTGTTGTGTGTACTCAGACGGGTGACATTGTCGACCGCGGCCCCGACAGCCGCGAGCTGTACGAGTACTTCATGCTGCTCGACACGCAGGCGAGGCAGCAGGGCGGCAGGTTGGTGCAGCTCCTCGGCAACCATGAAGCCCTCAACCTCTGCAACGTGCTCGTGTAAGTCACAACGGGAGATGCTGTCCTGCGCATACAATCGTCACCTATGTGCGTGCAGGTACGTATCTCCTGCCGAGTTTGAGACGTACGGCGGCGCGGAGCAGAGGGCGTTGGAGTTCTCAGAGAGGGGAGAGATCGGAAGGAAGCTGCGCTCGCTAGGTCGGTCGGGGTGAATGGGTCAACGAGGAAACACAACACACACACACACACACACACAGACAAGACAGATCTTTCTCTTGCTCTCGTTTGTTGACTGCAGATTCGGCGGTCGTCTACAATGACATCCGTAAGCCACAAACTGTCGCCCACACGGCATCCGTCATTTCATTCCCCCGCGTGTCGTGTCTGGATCTGCAGTGTTTGTCCACGCTGGTCTGCTGCCCAAGTTCGCCCAGCTGGGCCTCGACGCCGTCAACGAGGGCGTCAGGCGCGAGCTCGGGGCGGCCTGCAGCGTGGAGGGGTCGGTCTTCACCGGCGAGAGGGGGCCGCTGTGGGACCGTGTGCTGGCCACGTCGGCCGAGTCGCGGGCCTGCCCCCTGCTGGACCAGACTCTCGCTGCAGTGGCTGCGAAGCGGATGGTGGTCGGCCACACGGTGACGCAGTCGGGGCGCATTGAGCTGCGGTGTGACGGCAAGCTGGTCAAGATCGACGGGGGGCTGAGCAGATATATCATGAACAGGCCAGGTGCGTTGGTTAGTCCAGACGCGCTTACACGGCGCGCTTCACGGTCAGGTGGATCAGACGGGCGGTCACGGTCACTTACGCTGATTGGTTTGTTGCAGTGCTGTTGGAGATCCGTGCTGGCGATGGTTGGTACCAGAAGTGGCTGGAAGTGAATGCGACGACCAGACAGCCCATCCTGCACACACAGCCTCTGCCCATCAGTGACGGTGACACGCAGGCAGCCGACGACGAGCAGCAGCGGCAGGGGAGTGCGGGGTCGGATGAGTCCACCGTGATCCAGCTGATTTGATGGATGTCATGTGCGTGCGTGTTGAAAGGCAGACGATAAGATGCATGTATATGCCTAGTGATGATGACTGTTGATGTGTGACGATGAACGAACGGATAGCCGCCAGAGTGCCCAACACGATCTTTGTTCATTCCTCGATCGCTGAAGCGAGAGTCTCTCACATGTCTCCTGCCGGCCTGTCAGCCGCGAGATGGGACGATGGACAGAAAAAAGGGTATGAATCGACAGAGAGGCAGGCAGTCAGACAGACAGACAGACAGAGGTCCAGACACACCAGACATACACACCAGCAGCAGCAGCAGCAGCATCGACAGGCGTCACAAGAGGGCCCTGGCTGGAGTCCCGCGCGGGCAGGCAGGTCTGCTGTGCATGATAGAAAGATGATACCAAGATCGATCAGCGAGATCAGGCAGAGGGAAAAGCGAGAGAGACCACGGCGCATTCACAGGACGAGAAAGCGCTAAGCTACATGACATGAAGGAAAATAGAGACCGTCTGGCTGAGCATTCCTCCACACGTGTTCGGCGGCTCGGCATATCTGACGCATCCCTCGAACGGTTCATCGAACGAACCAGGCTCACGCGGAGCGACCTGGTTCCTTCCTATGCACAGAGATCCGCGCCTCATACATCGAGACGGCCAGCATGAGTGAGGATAAAGCACCAAGATAGTACACGCATGCTGTGATGTGCTGTGCTGTGCTGCAGTGCACTGCTCGTCCCCTCCCTTCCCTCGGTGGTTCGGCCAGAGGAGCTGACCTCACCGATATGACCGTGTCAGCGGCCATACCAGTCAGATCAGCCCCGCCCGTCTCACCAGTAAGGAAAAGGCGGTTCGGGCACTGGAGACGTAGTGTCACAGGGGAACTCAAAAGGGCTCTGAGTGCCGGTACAACACACTTTCTTGGAGCGAGCAAGACCGCTTATAAAAGCAGATGCCCCTAGATACTCACACGCATGACATGGGTCTCTCCCCGCCCACGCATCGCATCGCATCCACACAAATGTAGTCAGTCAGTCAGTCATCGACTAGACGCGTACGAGCATTACACACATGCACACGCACGGGAGGACACACACGCAGACAGACAGACAGGCAGACAGACAGGTATCTGTCCGGATCAGGGCGTGCATTCATCCACAGGTAGGTAGGTAGGTACAAACGAGCCAGCCACCAAAAGAACCACCCAGCCACCCGGCCGACCAACCAACCTCGTAAAGAGACCCCACCCCAAAACCACATCCACCCGCTCTCCCTTTCCTCACCTCTCTGGATGGAGATAGCTGCGTCGTGTGCCCGTGAGTAGTGGCACACGAACAGGCAAGCAGAACCGGACATCGCTTCCACCTCATAAACTCGCTGTTCCTCCCTCTCCCTCCTTTTCCTCCCTCTCTCCCTCTCTCCCTCACTCTGACCCTTAAGGCAGTCATTCACATGTGATCGATCGAGCGCTGTATGCGATTCGATTCGAGCATGCTACAGCCAGCAGCCAAGATGCCTCAAAAAGAGGACAGAAGAAAGTCAGGTAGCGGACCGACCGACACATCCATCCAGCACCACACACACACGCAACAGACAGTATCGCGACCGCCTGACAGGCTCAGATGGGCGGGCGGGAGGCGGTAAACAAAAAGACAGATAGGATAGGATAGGACAGCACAGCCAAGACAGACAGACAGGGAGGGGAGAGGAGAGAGAGAGGGGGGGTAGAAAGCAGCCAGGCAGGACGCTGCTGTGTCAGCGGGCAGCCAGTCAGCTTAGGTGAATGAGGGGAACGGGCGGGCCAGAGGGCGGTAGAACGGACGCTCACCTGACGCACACACACAGACAGAAATGGGATGCACACACACGCTCTCCCATTCCCTCCCTCCCTCCCTCCCTGTTGTTGTCGTGTCGGCTCACCGATGACTTCAGCGCATGGGTACGGTCCGCATCGCGTGAACCTTGCGGAGCCCAAGTCGTCTCTGCCGATGACGCGGGTCTCCTGAAGCTGTCGCTTCTTCTCCTTCTCGTACTCGACGGCGACGATCTCCTTGCCGTCGGCGTCGGTGAGGGTGTAGCCAGCCTTGGTGAGGGTGATGACCATGTCGCCCTCGAGGTGCAGCTTGTACTCGTCGCCCTCCTTGAGTACATACGACACCCTAAACAGACCCTCGCTCTCCTCGCCAGTCTGTGTGAACGCGCAAACGCATCAATCAAATTGTGTGCGTATGCATGTCTGTGTGTGTGTGTGTGTGTGGCTGTAGGGTTCCGTACCGGGATGACCAGTGTCTCGAGCTTCTCGAAGTCCCGCAGCGGCTGGCCGTAGAAGTCTGGCAGGGCGAACCTCTCCAAAGCCTCGGCCATGCCTACATCCAGACATGTCATGCCACATCCGCACAGAGAGTGCTCTGTCTCGTCTGCATGCGTGTTGGTGTGTGCGTACGTGCGGGGTGTTTGGTGCCCCTGTCGATGACGACAGCCTGGCCGTCGACCTTGATGTCCTTCATCACCTCCACTCCGGCAAGCACCAGGACGAACACGATGACCAGGGTGATGATCCACCCCACACCCATGCCGATCAACGCCCACCGAAGGGTCTTGTTGTGCTTGCGCTCGGACGTCAACTGCACACACACACACACAACACACACACACACACACACACACCAGGTTCCGCGTCAGTGACAGATCTGAGGCGAGACGGATTGTCTGTACCTGGCGGGCGGCCTCAGCGACCTCTTCGGCAGTGAAAGTCCCGTCGCCATTCTTGTCCCACGACTGCAGACACAACACACGACACCATCATGTCTCTGTCTCTTGCCTGCCTCCCCATCTGTGTATCTCTGTGTGCACCACAACCCCCGCCAGTCTGTCTGCCTGTCTTCCTCCCCGCGCATGTGACGTGCTGCGCTGTGTTGTGCTGCTGTGCTGACCTTGAGGAGCTGGACAATCCTGGTGCCGTCGTCGCCATCGACCCGGGACACAATGTTGGTGAACTTCTCAGTGCGGCTCTGCGGAACGACTGACATGCTCAGATCTGGATGAGATGCTATGCGATGTGAAGATTGAGAGATGCCGGTGGCTGTGGAAGATGCAGGAGTCGCTGCGGGAGTTGGGGCGGCTGAAAGCAAAGGCGAAGGACTTTGAGAAGCAGGAGCACCGGTTTCATGCGGTGCCCTAACTCGAAAATGATTTGACCGCTGATGCATCCCGCTGCCTCGATTCTGCACACACAAGCGGGGGAACACCTCTCACACTCACAAACACCCATGCACGCCCCATGCCAATCCATAGTGTCTGTACTTAGCCGCACACAAGTGGGGTTCGCCTCTCTCACGAGCGGCTGTGTGGTGGCGTCTCTTCTGAGTGCATCGCATCTCATCTTCGACGCACCAGCACAAGCCCGGAGGAAGCGCAAACCCTCACTAACGCACACATGGATGGATTGGTGTGACGAGCAAGCCAGAATCCACCCCCCAGTTCACAAAAAATCTTGTCAGTGGACCGATGCTGCTGCGAATTATATCTACGGTCATTCTGTCACAAACAAGTCCCACCCCTCCCCGCCCCTCCCGGCCACGCAGGTATGCAGTGACACTCGCAAGGGGATCAGCCAAGAGAGCGGCAGAGAAAAACGTCAGTCAGACAGACAGGAGGCAGCCAGGCAGAAGACAGGCTAGCTAAGGCGCGATATACACCCCCTGCATCTTGCCATCGGTTGATCAGCCTGAGTTTGGCTCGGTCGCCTATTTGGTGGCTTTGGCAGCGGGCAGGTTGCCGACCACGCGGCGCAGCTTGGACAGAATCTGGGGGTTGGGGATCGCCTGCAACACCACAACCAACACACACATGGCATCGACGTGTCTGAGGAGGGCTGCCCTGTCTTTCATTGCTCACCTTGCCGGCCTCATACTCGTTGATCACCGATGCCTTCTCGTTGATGCGCTGGTGACACAACACACCAGAAGGCACAAGATGCGCGTCACGCATCCACCATCGCCTCGCCCTGTCCGCCCACCTGTGCGAGTTCGGCCTGCGTGAGTTTCTTGTCTAGCCGCGCCTGCTGGAGCGCCTTGGCGAAGTCGTGCGACACCCTGTCGTGCTTGAAATTCTCGGTCTCCTCCTCCAGCTTCTTGGCGCTGATACGCAACACACGCACACAGCGCACGACGCACAAGTGGATCAGTGAAGTACGGATCAGTGGAAGAACGGATGTGACTTACTTGGACACGGGTTGGTGGGCATGGGCACGATTTTGGCCTCCCATGACTGCGTAAGACAACCACAGACACGCACACCCGACCAAACGATGTGCCGCTGTTTTGCTTTCCGCGCGTGCGTGTGGATTCGGTCGCCGCTTACACTTCTTGACGGTATCGACTTCGTCTCCCGCCCGTCGCGCCTGGTTGACGACCTTGGCGTCCGACGCCTTGCTCCCAGATGGCTTTGTCTTAGACCACGTCACGGTCTCCCAGTCCTGGTGGCCCTGAGCTGGTCGCGACATCTTGAACCTCTCCAATCAACCCAATCACACTAGAACAGCTCGTGATTACGCGAAAACAAGGCTTTCTGTCGTCCTCCGCGCGATCACCTGCGAGCTTAAATTACGATTTGCGTTTTGGCTGGGATTCTCCCGATGTTACGTCGTTTCGAAGACAGACAGGCAGTATTCACATCAAGCCATTGCACGTCTTTCCGCTCACAGGCAACCAACCCTATCTATCAACCCGTCAGACAGTCAGCCGGACTGCCTGTCTGTCTGCTCCAGCAGCTGCGAGTAGTCCCTGCGGACCTGCCTCACGTGAGAACTCGCACTGATCCGGGCGAAATAGACCTACACGTACATGCACATGACACACATGGATGCACAGACCATGCATGTGTCTGTGTCCGACCTTGCAATGGTATGCGTCGTGGCAGGCCGCGCCCTCCCACGCCGACCCCGCACAGTGAGTGCAGAGACGATTCAACAAACCAAGGCGATCTTCAGAGGCACGAAGCCGACTGTACAACTGATCACACCGACATACACAGATGGACACAGCTTGCAAGCCCCATACGTGCATCCAGCCATCCATCCAGCCACTGCAAGTCATGTTGCATACCTTTAGGATAGCGCCTTGTGGGTCAGCTGCACATCGGTCGCACACTGATGGGGTGGCGGGGGCCCTCACAGGGGAGCACGAGCGGCGACCATGGCCTGTGGATGCACGAGGGGTGGGGCGGGACGGCAAGGGGGGCGGCTTGACCAAGTCACTGTCTTCCTCTGCGTCGAGGTCGATGATTATCGGCTCGGAGGGGGCCTCCTTCTTGACCACCTCTGGCTCCTCCTCCTTGACTCGCTTGACGCCGCGTGGCCGTGGGGGTGAGGGCGCCTCGCTCTTGATCTCTCGCTTGATCTCCGTCTTGACGGCAGCAGCAGGGGCACCAGCAGCAGCGGGGGCAGGGCGGCTTGGGCGGCCGTCTCTCAGCACACGCATCAGGCCCGACACGGCACTGTCTGACACGCCCTCTTCCCCCTCCTCTGTCTTGACTGACACACCAACGCCGCCCCACTCCGTCTTCCTCCGCTTCCTTCTCCCGTCGCCCTCGCCCGCCGCCCTCCGACCTGCTGGCCGCATCGGTGCGCCGCAGACGGCACATGCACTGGCTGGGGCGAAGAACATGTCCATGGTGTTGGATGCCGATGGCGGGGCGATGGGCGGGGCGTTGTACGAGGGAGGAGCAACAGCAGCTGCTGCAGCGACAGGCCCAGATGGATAGGGGACGAGTGACATCCCGGAGTTGCCATTGCTGGTTGGCGAGTCGTCCTCTTTGACGGGGGTGCGGGGCGACGGTGCAGGGGGCGGTGTGGGTGTGGGGTAGGTGCGCTTGACGGGCTTGGGCATCTGGTTGAACCACCGCTCGACATTGACTTCGGGACCGATCAGAGCGAATAGCCGATCGATGGCCGGGATCATCTGCTTGGTGATGTAGTAGGTGGCGTTGAGATGCAGCAGAGGCTGACTCGCCCACGCCGCATACTGCTCCCTGCTGGCCTGAACCCAACATACACGTACCGACCAATGAACGTCACCACGACTGTCGCCCCCGGCACCCTCACCTCAGGCTCGAGTGGCGTCAGCGGGCAGAGAGGCTTGGACGCTCCCTCTATTCTGCTGGGTGGCACCACCTGATCGATCAGCCGGCTGCCGGGCGGGCCATACGCCACGGCAAAGGGGATCCGTTCGCTCATCTGTGGGGTGGCGGTAGGGTCACTGGCGAGGGATGCGTATGCGACGACTGCCTGTGGGGGCAGGGTGTGTGCGGGGCCGCCTTGGTTGGCGGTGTAGGTGCCCAGCCGGACCTCTCGGTGGAAGATGACGTCATACAGATTCAACTGATGTGCAGAATAGAAAGAAGATGAGTGCACTTACGTGTTATCGGGTGCTGCGATTTCCTCACGTACCTCTGGGCCGCCTCGCAGGAGCGTTTGCCACTCATTGTAGAGGTACCTCTTCACCTGCAGACAAATATGCACAAAGAGGGCCTCGCCCACACCCCAATCACACCCACCCTGCCCACATTTCTCACCTGCGAGAGGTCTATGGTCTCGAAAATGATCCTCAGGCACTGCTCAAGCGCCCTCGACGCCACGGGGCACTGGTCCCTCCGCACATTCTCGATGCCCTTGGCGTCCAGCCGCGGTGCAGAGGTGGGTGTGTCGTAGGCGTAGCCCACATACCTCTTCTTGGACACCAGGCAGCAGGGCTGGTAGACCTTCTCCATCTTGAGCTCCATGGGCCGGGGGTTCTGCTCACTCACTTCTCGGGCGATCTCGCGCCCGATGACGAAGGCATCCTCTCTTGACCGACCCTCCACCAGCACAAAGAGTGAGTCCGTGTCGCCATACACCACTCGCGCGCCCCACCTGAGGGCAAACGCAAGAGACCGTGTCGTTTTGCGTGTGGGCCTTTGGTCCGTGTTTGTGGGTTCTCACCTTGGATTCGCCTCGACAGTGTCTCTGGCCCTTTCCAGGGTGCGTCTGGCTGTCTGCACGATCGCGTCGGCGATCTCTCCGCATGGCATCCGACCAGAGAAGGAGGCTCCGGTGTAGCCGTAGGTCACGTTGCTGAACATCTTGAGCCCGAATTGACGATGGTTCAAGATGCGCTGGACAGACACACATGGAAACAATCATGTTTCCTTGCCGTCTGATCCGCTTGTCTACCCACCTGCAGTCTCGGCTCCTTCATGGCCTTGTCGTGCAGCTTCATAGAGCTCTTGACCATCACACGGGTCCGCAGCACAGCCTCCAGCAGGGAGGGCAACACCCCACGCCTGACCCGTCTCGACACGAACACTGCCTCATTCGGCAAGATGTTGACACACCGCTCGTCGGCACCAGGCAGCCGCCCACCTCCTCCCGCTCCCTCCTGCAGCCACTCGAACCTCTCCATCAGCTCGGCCATCATCTCGGGCGTGACGTCGAGCTCATGCACGCCGAATTTCTTGGTGAGGTTGACGAGTGGTGATGAGGGGTCGTGTCTGTCGCCCCTGAGGCGGCCCAGGCAGGTGGAGAAGCAGATGTTATAGGCGATGATGATGGACGGGTAGAGGGACTGGAAGTCGAGGACAATCACGGGGGACCAGTAGAAGTTCGACTCGGGCTCCATGACCAGCGGCAGACACTCCAAGGCCGTCTGCTGCGTCACCTGATGGACGGATCAACACACGGAAATCACACATGTGACGAGTGTCCAGCAATCCATCCATCCATCCACACATTCCTATCCTTGCCTGTATCTTGGATGCGGACAGCAGGACGTACCCCAGCGCGTGTGCCGCCCTACACAGCATCGCTTCCACCCGAAACTGACTCCCCCGGCTCAGCACGCTCCAGAAGTCGATCCCAAAGAGACGCGCAAACTCGGTGGTACGCGCAAGGAGGTCGGTGCTGTCCATCAGCCCCACCACCAGCCGCACACACCGCATGACGTAGCGCAGCGCAAAGTGACGGTATGGGTGCCGGTCGGGCTCGTCTTGGTCTGTGTGGTGCCACCATGAAGAGAGCGTGAATGGGGGGAAGTGGGGGACCGTCGTGCCGAGGAGCGTCTGGGCGAGGGCGTGGAGGGAGTACTGTGTAGTCTTGACCTCAGACCTTAGCGTGCGCCACAAGTTGATGACGATCCGGCCGCCGAGCGTCACGCCACCTGCACGCATCAAGGCACCAACCACATGCAGGCAGGCAGGCAGGCAGAACGATAACTGATTCTTCCGAAAAGATCTTCTGAGAGCTCACCTGATGCAAGTGTGGGCATGAAGTTCATCCATGGCGCCTCAGACGGATCCAGCAGGTGCGAGTCCACACCGCTCGATGCCGGCACGAGAGGGCCGCTGGTCGCTCGGGGCTTCGGCTTCTGCCCTGTTGAGGCGGCAGGGACGATCGCCCCACCAGTGGATTGCCGCCGCTGCTGTTGCTGCGTGACTTTGGGGGGCGGCAGAGGTGCCTGGGATGGAGGGGGGTTGAGCAGACGTGACAGCTGAGTGGTGATGGTGTTGTAGCCCAGGTACTGCGCCCGACGGATGAAGTACCTGAAGCCCAGATCAAGGAAAGCGCATGGATGTACACATGAGTGTGCCGTGTGCCAGTCATGGTGCCCTCCCTCACCCGATGGATTTGCTCTGCACCTCAAAGCCGACCAGGATAGACGGATCGAAGTCATGGAAGAGCCGCACCACCGCGTCAATAAGCTCCCCCTCGCTTGCCACCCAGTCCATCGCCCCATATCGCCCCCATCCCTCCACTGGCAGCCCATCCTCGGTCACGACGATGCCGCCGTGCCTGTCGCCCTCGCCCTCCTCACCCAGTCTCTCATCCCGCTTCACCCACAGCACCGCCACCATGGCGTCCTTCGCAGGGTCACTAGACGAAGAAGCGCCGCCCGTGCAGTCAGCCAACACCTCCACGGCCAATAGAGTGCCGAACGACAGCCGATCGGGCGATGGGGGGGCGATGGCTGGTTTTGTGTAAGGCTGGTCCTCGGCTGATTGGATTGGGTCGTCCTCGAGCTCGCCGGGGACGATGTGAGGGGGAGGGGGGCCGATCTTCCTGTCAGCTGCTGCACCCTCCTTGGCTTGCTTGTTGTCCTCTGGTTTGTCGTCGACCACGAAAACAATCCGCCCATAGCTGTCCATCGTCGTAGTGGCCTTCTCAAGGCCCTGCTTCGCCATCTCCTCCTTGCCCCTTGTCTCCATGTAGTCGTCGACGGCCTCTCGCACAGTGGGCGGGGGGATCCCGTAGACAAAGCGACTCGTCCACACCCGGCTGACGGCCATGCTCTCGCTCTCGTCATTGGCGGCCAGGACAGTCATGTGTGGGTTGCTGCTGACGAGCCCGACGCCCCTCTTGGCCTGCTGGGGGCGGAATGGAGGAGGGGCTACTGGGGTTGGCAGCGGACGGATGGTCTGTGGCAGCGCTGACGGGGGGATGTCTGCCGCGTCAGAGTAGTGGGGGTGCTGGGACGGGGAGGACCCGGGCAGAGGGGCGGCAGCAGCAGCTGATGCACTGGCAGCGGCAGTATGGGACGATGCTTGCATCTTAACATCTTCTGACGCCCCGCTGTCGGCTTCCTGCTGCATCTGTTGGTGCCAGGGAGTAGAGGAGGAGGCGGGAGCTGCAGCGGCTTCTCGGCACGCCGACAGGACGTCCTCCAGGTGGCTGCGGAACTCGCCATTCATCAGCTCCTCGGCGACGTGAACACGCCTGAAGCCACACAGAAGCAGTAAACATGTGTGTGCGGGTGTAGCGTCTTCTCTCCATGTGTCTGAGTTACCTGTCGAAAGGATCGTTCTTGGCCGTGTCGAAGTCTTCATCGCGCGGCGGCTCCATGCCCCTCTCGGTGCGCCGCGAAATCTCATCCTGCACACACACGAGGGAGGGACAACACAGGTGAGCAGTCGATGGATGCATCAAGGACACCCAAGCACGACGCACCTGCCACAGAGCATCGAGCGACTCGGCCACTGGCGGGGCACAGCTGACATCGAAGTCAAAGGGCACCTTATCGAGCTCGCCCGCCTCCATTCTCCTCCTGCCCTCCATCCACTTGGCCCACTCAACGTTCAATATATCGCCGGCACGCACGTCAGCCTCCAGCTCGCACCGCGTCTGTCGTGCCATCGATGACACACGAATCCCCCGCACGTGCCGTGTCCAGTAGCGGATAGGCGAGTGTGCTGCTGACGAACTCTCATATTGGATTGGTGGGGAGAAGGAGGGGCGAGAGGGGAGAGGGGGGCGGAATGACACGCGTGACGGGTCGGCGTGCAGATCGTCCATGCCGCGGAGGTTGTGTTCGGCCAGGAACTGCAACAGGTGGGGCAGGTGAACCTCATAGGGCTGGAAGGCATGGTTCATCACTGCGCCACGATGGAATAGAGCCGCTACCTGTGACACACACACACAGACAGAGAAAGGAGCAGATTTCTGGTGGCCATTGCTCTGCCCACCGCTTTCGTTGCCTCACCCGATGGAGATGAGCGGGATTGACACACGACACCTTGACGAACCGTCTGAACTCCCCGTGATACCCATAGATCCCACGCCGCCACACCACCGCCAGATCAAAGATGCATGCGCCCCGGCCTCCTTCCTTCGTGTAAATGCTCTCCGCCTCTCGCGCCATCCTCTGGAGGAACGCATGCCGCCGGTTGGATGAGTCGGCAACTTCATCACTCATGGCGTCGGTCAGCTGGACATAGAAGAAGGGCAAGAAGGAGTGGACATGCAGGGCACACATCTGGCCGGACGGGCGAAGAGGACCATAGATGCGGACAATGGGCACGAGCTGGAGCTGTTTCTGCGTCAGAGGTGACGACGCAGGATCAAGATCACGCTGTGGAGGCGCCATAGTTGTGTCCATCGACACGATGCGAATGCTGAACCGCGAATCCATAAATGCATCACCCGCCCCGGTCTGAGCCAAGCTCGCAACTCGCAACTCAAGGAAACCGCTGCAACTCAAGCCAGCGCGCAGAAGATAAGAAGGTGAAAGAGGTGCTCTGCTTTCGTCCCTGGACGACGCGCAAGGACGGCACACAATCGGATCTTCATCACATCATTCTTCATCTTGATAGATGTCGTGTCCGGTTCAAGGCAAGGAGGCGCAGGCACCGCCAAGCGGCTGCCCTGTGCAGCACAGCACCACAACCAAGACCAGTGGCTGCCCGGTGCAGCATGATGCCGCAAACAAGCCCAGCGGATGCCCTGTCCAGCACGATGCACCGAGCGCCAAGGGCGACGTCCCTGCTGACAACAAGGAGCGCTTTGCTGACCATCCCCTCGCCACCTCCACTCCCCCATCATCGCCCACCACCAAAGGCCCTCAGTCGGAGGACCAGCTGAGCAATGACCGGCAGAAGGCCACCATCCCGTCTGTGTCCGGCGACTGGTACTACCCGTCCGAGCGTCAGTTCTTCAAGGCGACTCTTGCCAAGGGCCACGACGACGTGATGCCGAGCGACATGCCGATGGTGGTGGCCATCCACAACGCCGTCAACGAGCAGTGCTGGCAGCGCATCATGGAGTACGAGAAGATGCACGAGGACGAGTGCAGCACGCCCAAGCTGCTGCGGTTCATCGGGCGGCCCGACCAGATGAGCGTCAAGGCCAAGCTCATGACCGCACTCATGGGCTACCACAAGCCTTTCGACAGACACGACTGGTTCGTGGACAGATGTGGCAAACAGGTACATGTGCATGTCTGTGAGGAAGCCGCGGACGGACACACGAGAGGGATATCTGTCTGTGCATGTCCATGTGCCCGTGGGGTGCATGTGTCAGGTTCGCTATGTGGTAGATTTCTACGAGGGGGCCCCGTCCAAGTACTCGCCGGTGTCGATATACGTGGATGCGCGGCCGGAGGTGGGGCTGGAGGGGTGCATGGACAGGACAAAGATGTTCCTCAAGAGAACCAACCTCATCTCATAGAGCAGAGCAAGGCAGGCAGCCGAGGCAATAAGGCAGACAGGCAGTGGGTTTTTGGTGTTGGCTGATGTCAGCCAGCTCGTGTGTGTGCGCGTGAGCTCTGCTGTGTGTATGACATGGCACTCAATCGACTAAGTTTGTGTCTGTGAACGCCATGAGGTGGAGGTGCGGCTAAGTGAATCGTAACATTTGTCAAGCCCGGTAGAGCAGGGGGCTCAGTATGGTAGGTATTCTCAAGTTTGAGACGTCATGCGGTGGGTGATTCGAGAAGCGCACGGGGGCATAAATAAATGCCATTCGTATGTTGTGTGCGTGCCATCGCAGGCAGACACACCCACTCGTCGCAATCACGCCACGTACGGATAAATTTCAATAAATCTATGGACCTCCGTGCCCTGTCCTGCCATCCCAATCAATCTGCACATGTGGCAACCTGCCGACTCAACTGCACGTCCCTCCAGTCACTCAAGATGGATGTAAGAAAAACACCCACAGGCAACCCATGAATGCATGTATGTATGTCGCTAAGCCTTGTTGTGCCTCTCCTCTTCCACCAGCCGTGCAGGCTTGTTCATGTGCCTCCCCCGCCCCCTACTGCTGCCGTCGGGCGGGCCTTCCTCCCGTGTCGTATCGTAGGCCCTCCCTCTCCCATGCCCTCCGCCTTGGCCCCTGCCTCGGGGCCCTCCTCCATCAGTGGCCCTAAACTGCTCAAGTGCTCTTCGGCCGCTAGCATTCCCCCAACTGCCACTGCCGTCAGATCCCGAGCTTTCTCCGTCGTCCCATCCCCCACGACGCCCACCAATGCCACCGAATGGCCCCACTGGCCCCCTGGAATGGTGGGTGGGGGGGACGCGGACGCTGTCGGGAAGGGCGTAGCTGTGGCCATGGGTGCCATGAGGCGACAGAGAGGGGATTTGCGGATCCACATGGGGTGAGGGACGGCTGTGATGGCGAGGAGGGACTGCTGTGGCCCTCATGTCGGCCTTTTCCTCTTCCTCATGAACGCCGTGCTGCTGCTGGGGGTCTTGCTGTGGCTTTGGCAGGGGAACTCGGATCGTGCCTCCATCGAGGCCAGTTGGCCAACTGAGGGGGCCGGGCGAGAGGGGCTCCTGATCTCCGTGCGTGTGTGGTCGTCGGTATGCCGATGAGGCAATGGGTGAGTCGCTTGGGCTGTCTTGACGGCGAGACGCGAAGGCCGGCTCGCCGTCTGCAGGATGGATGTGCAGTCGGTCTTGGATCATGCGCAGCAGTCCCTCCAGGCGATGCCGCTCGTCCCGCCATAGGCGCTCGTCCCGCTCCGCCGCATTCCAGCTATCGATCGCCGATGTCAGGGTGTCGTCCAGATCATGCAGCTCATCTATGGTCTGTGTCTGCAGCCGCACACACCTGAGTGCAGACACACACCACAAGTACATAAGTAGTCAAAATCCTTTCATCTCGCCCGCCCGCCCGCCCGCGCGCCCATTCGTCGCACCTACCTAGCCCTGAGGTCATGGTGCTGTCGCTGCTTTGCCGCCAACTCCTCCAACTCCTCTCTCGCCTGACGCAGCCGAGACTCCAGCTGCCGCACCGTGACCAGTCGAGCCTCACTCGCTGGGGCCGCTACAGCCGTCGACCGAACGAGGTCATCCCTACCGCTATCCTCCCCCTCCTCCCACTCCTCCTCCCACCGGCCGGTCACCAAGACGACTCCACCACCATCACCACGACAATCCATCAGACGGCCGCCCCTGCTTTGGCCCTCATGCTCGACGCGCCCCTGTTGCTGGGCCCGTGTGTGTGCCGAGCTGCCCTGTGCATGTGGAGAGGGGATCGGCTTGTTGGGGAAGACAACTGGCGCAGTCGATGGGGGCGCCTGCTGCTGCAGCTGCTGCTGGCTGTTTGCTGCGGGTGCGTGAGGGGGTGGGGGGCCGTGACGGTGTGGCGGCGGTCGGGCACTGGTGTTGGTGTTGCTGTGGTGGTCGCTGGAGATGATGTCACGGATGAAGCTCATATCGCGGGGGCAAAGAAGGCCTGCCACTGACGAAAGCCGACTCGGTACAGCTCGCGTCTGCTCCTCTTTCTGCTGTTGCTGTTGCTGGAAGACCTCGGGCAACGACGAGCTGGCGCTGGGGTGGCTGTGCCCGTGGCCGTAACCGTCATTGCTGGCAGGACAGGGCGACTGCGGCTGAGGGTACGTGTCATGAGGCATCTGGGCAGCAGAGGGCTGCGACGCGTCTTCATCTGCAGCCGCCTGCTCCTGCAGCTGTGACAGGGGCACGCGGACCGTCCTTCCAACGTCGAGAGTGGTTGGCCACTCCTGCGGGCCGGATGAGAGAGGCTCCTCGTCTTCTGGTGCGCTTTGTCGGCACCACCGTGAGGCACGCCCGGGATCATGCACACGCGAAGCAAGTGGTGAAGGCGAAGGAGCGGGACGCGACGGCGCGGGGCAAGGAGGGCAGGGGGCCACGCCGGGATGGGGAGGGGCTTGGGGCGGTGGGGTTAGGATGGTGGGCATGGCTGCCGAATGCGACGCAGAACGACTGCATGCATCAATCAGTCAATCAACACATAACACATTTATTGAGTTGTCCTTTCTTTTGCGTGTATGCACTGAGTGCGTCGTGTGTCTCATTTCCTCACCCATGTCGCTGCTGCCTGCTGTCGCCATCCATGGCGACATCGGAGCGACACAGAGGCACGCCCACTGCCCCGACCAGATGCTGCGCAACAGGTGTTGTGGTCGAGGACGGTGTGGGTGTGGCCGTCTGCAGCGCCGCTCCTCTGCCATGGCCGTCATGCAGACGAGCATCAGTGGCGGCCGGCAGAACCCTCCGCAGCCAGATCTCGACGTACAGACCATCGCTACAGACCACCCCCGGCGGCACGTCGAGGCGCCGCACCTCGCCCTCACGCATGTCGGCGAGCTCCCTCTGGGCTAGGTCATGCTCTACCTCAGACAGGAGCCTCGTCTGCTCCCGCTCCCCAGCGATCAGCTGCCTCCGAACCTTCCCATAGAAGCCATCTGCCCATGCCGTGCAGTCGAACAGGATGCGGTCGTTGTGGGTTGGCTTCGGCCCCGTCCCCACCTTCGATACCCGACTGGTGATCGTCGCCGCTCCGCTCAGCCCACCCCTGCTGTTGTCAGCTGCCGTCGGCCGCTGCCCGCTGAACGAATGGGTAGGGGAGGAGTGTACTCCGGCGGAGCGCAGATTGGGAAGGGGAAGGAGCGAAGCTCCGTGGTGGACTGACGACGGGCTGAAAGTAGATGGGATGGCGGCGGATGACGCGTGGGTGAGAGAGACGGGAAAGGGGAGCAGAGGAGGCAGACCTGTAGACGGCTCGCCTGTCGCACCATGACGTCCAGCTGATGACGTACACACATGCACAGGGAAACCATGTGTGCACTCCTGAATGAAGGTGCTGCGTGTCATGCAGTCGTACCCGAGCGTGCAGTGTTCATCGTGCTGGCTTGACAATGGCCACCATCTAGCGGGACGTTGTCATACTGCACACACACAACACAGAAAGTGCCTTGGGTTGTGGGGTGGATGCGCGGGTACCCTGTGCAAGGCTCTGCGCCACATCCCAAACTCGCGATCAGACCTCCTGACCGACATGCCAAGACGCGAACGTGGCATACATGCTTACACACAGGCGTGTGCAGGAAGGCCTTTCAGTGTTGTGTATACTAACGTTTTGCTACAAGCTTTATTGGCATCTGGCGTCATTGGGTCGGCAGCGGTGCGGTGCTCACTGCAGCCAAGGGACAACAGGCCAGAGAGAGAGAAGGTGCGGCTGTCCTTTCGGCGTGTGTGTGGGTGTGGGTGTGCGTGTGTGTGGATGTGTATCGATGTGTGTTGCCAGGCGGACCGCTTGACTGTCCTCCGATAGTTTTGGTAGCCCGGAGTGTTCTTGCCTGACCGACCACAATACACACGTGCGTGGGTGATGTTGTGGTGTTTCCCTCCCCGCCGCCACCATCCCTACCGATGATGATCTGCTTCTGTCTGTGTGAGATGCGCTTTTGACGCGCGACTGACAGACAGACAGACAAACAGACAGACAGGCACGTATCCATCCATCTATCCATCCATCCATCCAGCAGCCCTACCTTCCTCCGAGTCCCCATCTTCACCCTCGGAGCCGCCCGGCTCGTCATCGCTACGGGCCACTGCAAGGCACACATAAAGACATCCACACGATGGACAGACTTTGAGTGGTGAGTGACATACATTGCTGGCTGCCAGCAAGTGCAGGTGTCGCTGTGGCTGTGATTGCTGTCGTCGAATGCTGGACGCCCGCCGTGAGATCAGGCAAAGAGGGCGACGCGCAGGAGCACTCCCCTTCTGTGTCACGATGGCGGCCGTCATGCACACGAGCACTAGCGGCAGGTGGCCGAACCTCCCGCAGCCAGATCGCCATGAACTCTTTCCCCGGCATGGGGCCACACCTCACCCCTCCCTCACGCATTTTGCTGATGTCCTCCTGGAGCCACTCAGGGTCAACATTCCACAGAGGGCTCTCCACCCCACGGCACGTCGTCGTCTCACGTCGCCGTCGGGACCCCATGTGAGAATGTCGAATTTGATGCAGTCGTCGCGGTTCGGCTTGGGCCCGTCCCCCGGATTCGTCCACGCATACTCATGACGCTGTCCACCTGATGACACCCACAGACATACATACAGGGAAAGCATGTGTGCGCTCCTGCAGGTGCTGCATGTCATGCAGTCGTACCCGAGCGTGCAGTGTTCCTCGCCGATAGATATTGCTGGTACATCTGCCACGTCGGAGAGGCAGGGGCAGTGGCAGCAGTGGCAGCGGGGGCAGCGGGAGGGGGAGGGGGTGGGGGAGGGCGCCAGGGCAAGTCATGCGGCGTGACTGTGGGATGCATTTGCTGAATAATGGAGAGGGTCTCCTCGTGCTGGGAAGCCGCTGGCTGGCCTGATTACACACACACGGACGACACCACGACGCACACACATACCCATGCATCCAACAGCCCTACCTTCCTCCGAGTCCCCCTCTTGACCTTTGGAGCCGCCCGGCCCGTCATCGCTACTCCCTACTGCAAGACACACATACAACACAACGACATCCACACGATGGACAGACTTTGTGTGATGAATGAAAGACATTGCTGGTTGCGATAAGCGTCCGTCCCCGTACCGTGCTCGTTGTGTGCGGAGCCCGACATGATGTCGGTGGTGGCGTAAAAGGTCTCAGGCTGCCATTCTCCTCAACGTGTTACAAGGCTGACCACACACACCAAACACACAATCCGTGCTTTCGATACATGCATGTGTTTTACTCGGGAAATCCTGCCTCCTTGCGCCTCTCGATGTGTCCTGGCTCGCCCTCATGGATGAAGCAATGATGAACCCACCCCTCTCTGCCTGCACCTACCTTCGCGGCCGGTTTTAAGGATGGGAGCACGCGGGCTCCGCCAAAGCAGCCGGGGGCTCTGGGAATCTGGGAATCCGCCGTGGTCCGCTGTGATAGCACCCATTTTCTGACGGATCGCGAGCTTTGAGAGGACCGGACGAGGATGGGGCAGATCTCGGCGACGAGGGAACGCTTTCCGACGCTGCTCCTTGATCATGAGTGAATGCACTTTGTCCTCACACTATATACATGGATCCGGTCACCCATCTTGTGGGCTGAGATGGTTTCTTTGCAAGGCGTCGATGCATGGAGAGAGGAAGCCGAACTCACATTGGCTGCCTCCCGGCATACATAGCCACAATGCAAAGAAACCATGACAGCCCGAGAGATGCGAAAATGGATCAACTGACCAACGACCGTTGACTCACGCCACAGACGGACAAAGAAGCCCCGTCGAAAACCGATAAAACGTGTCATTGTGTCTTCAATCCCTTCATCCGCCCTCTCCCCTCTTGGTCAGCAGAGCTTTGGCCGCCCTTGACACAGACGGCCGCCCCAGCACCTCCGACATAAACGCCCCAGCGTCGATCACTCCGTCAAGGTCGACGCCCGTGTGGATGCCCAGCCCATGCAGCATGTACAGCACGTCCTCAGTGGCCACGTTGCCGAGAGCGCCCTTGCAGTAGGGACACCCGCCGAGGCCCGCTGTGCTGCTGTCGATGACTGCGATGCCGTATTGGAGGGCGGTGAGGATGTTGGCCAGCGCCTGGCCGTACGTGTCGTGGCAGTGCATCGCCAGACGCTCGAAGGGCAGGCCTTCAGCCGACAGGGCCTGCAGCAGGCGATCGGCATGACCTGCCACAAAAGAGACCATATCAGGTCCATCAACGAATATGAGTGTGCGTTGGCCTCACCAGCTGTGCCGACTCCCAGAGTGTCGCCCAGGGAGACCTCATAGCAGCCCGCCTCGAGCAGCCGCCGCACCACAGGCACCACTTGGGACGGCTCCATAGCGCCCTCGTACGGGCACCCCAGCACCACAGAGCATGAACCCCTCACCCTGATGCCGTCAGCCGCCGCATGCTCAAAGATGGGGCGGAATCGGTCGAAGCTCTCGTCGATGGAACAGTTGATGTTCTTCTGGCAGAAAGACTCGGTCGCTGCGGTGAAGATGTTGACCTCGGTGGCGCCGGCCGCCCTGGCGGCCTCATAGCCCTTCAGGTTGGGCACCAGCACCTGACACACAGACGGGGCGGCAGCAGCAAAGCCACAATGGTGTGGTCTTCCGTGCAGTGGAATTGGTTGTATGCCTACAGGGTATGTGACGCCTTGCCTCCTGTCGATGCCGGCCATGACCTCCTTGTGGTCGCCCATTTGCGGCACCCACTTGGGGCTGACGAAAGCAGTCGCCTCAATGGTCCGCAAACCAGTGCCTGGTGGCAACGCAACACACAAGATCCACAGACAGGCAGATCACAACAGTCAAGGTGTATCGTTGCATCGCCCTTGCATTACCTGAGAGCCGATTTATGAATTCAATCTTCTTGGCCGTGTCGACAACGGTCTTTTCATTCTGCAGGCCGTCCCTAGCGCCGACCTCCACCACTCGGACAGATGCAGGGAGGCGGTCCCAGCCCCGGTGGGCCACAGCAGTTGATGAGAAGCAGCGATGTCGCCGCAAAGGATCAATCCGCCGCGCGAGAGGGACCAGCGAGCTCTTCCAGAGCACACCGCGGGAATGGTACATGGTGGACAGGGGCTGCTAGTCAGAGGAAGCCGCAAAGACAGGTTGCATCGTCAAATCTTCATCCATTTTCGACAGATCTTCGTCCATATGCTGGCGCCACTGTCACATCCGAGTCAGAATCCTTCAACAGCAGAGAGAAAGGTGCACCTCTCTCGAACATCTAAGCTCGCAAATAGGACATTTCGTGAAACTGCTCGCAGGGAGAGGAGGACACCGAGGAGGGAAAGAAAAATGCTTCGCGAACCGCCCAGACGTCGCACACAAAGCATGCCGCCTCCATCTCGATGGGACGAATGGAAGTTGATGCTGGGCGTGAGAAGGTTCGTCCTTCGTGCCGCCGACAAACTCGCCGGCTCCATCGTCACGCAAGGCGGAGCGCCGAGCCCGTCAGCCATGTACGAATGGCTCCTGAGTCAGCCGTGTCAATACCGTGCGCTCATCAACATTGACGTCCCACGGTAAGGCATGGGAGGTGATGGATTGGATGGGAGGAGCAAGGCATACAATGGCATGCATCACCCATGGCACATCTGTATATCTGTATTGTTGCAGAACGTTGAGCTGCGCAAAGGTGTTGACGGACGAGAGGAAGAGCATGTTGACCAACATACTGGTGAGCGGGAGCTGATAAGGAATGATGTGGTGACGGGACGTGTGCAGTGCATATTCTCCCCTCCCCTCCCCTCCTCTCCCCTGTGTGTGTGGTGTGTGTGCGCAGATAGCATACGCCAACTACGACACATCCACGGGCTACATCCAGGGCTTCGGCAACATCGCAGGTGGGTGAACGAGCTGCTCAGAAGACGCACAGGCATCACGCCCTCACCGAACCGACCCTTGGTTGTGTCTGTCTGTCTGTCTGTCTGCATGCGTGTGTTGTGTTGTGTGATGCAGTCGTGTTGTTGGTTGTGTCTGAGTGGCGCGAGGAGGAGGCGTTCTGGGCACTGGTCGCCCTCATGCAAGGCAGGGGATACCGACACTTCTTCAAAAACGACTTCCGCGAACTGACCCGATACGAGAAAGGTGTGCATCCATCCATCCATCCATCCATCCATCGATGGCCCAGCCATTCACGAGTGTGGCGACCTGCGCCACCTCTATGTATCTTCCCTCCCTGTGTGTGCCGTTCCGTCCCTTCAGTCTTCGGCTATATGTTGAGCCGCGAGTTGCCGGAGCTAGAGGCTCACCTCACTGCAGTGGACTTCCCCCCCACACGCTCTATCACGCCCAAATGGTGAGTTAGCTGAGGAGCGGACACGGATGCATCCGCGACGCATCCGTCCAGTTGGTCACGCCTGACGGTCTGTGTGTCTGTGTGTGTGTCTGTGTGTGTGTCAGGTTTTTGTCTGGTTTTGCGCAGGCGTTGCCCCTGAATGTGGTGATCCCCATTTGGGACCGCATTCTAGCGGAGGGGATGCCGTTTATCATCAGTGTCGCCATGGCCATGTTGGCAGTAAGCACACCACTACACCACACCACACGGAAGCGAACAACAGCATCCCACGCGACACGTATGCCTTTCTCTCTTGTCCCCTCTGTCAGGAAATGACGCCGTCGTTGGTCAGGATGGATGACAAACAGACGTACCATGCGTTTCTGCACGTCAAGGAGAACAGCAACTTCGCCGGCCCCCAGGCGGCTGCCCGGCTCATCCACCGCGCCAAACGCTTCCCCGTTCCCATGCCTCTGCAGATGGTGCGCACATCAACAATAGCCGTGGCGTCAGAATGTGTGGCTCATCCCTCTCGTGTGTATGTCCTTCCTGCAGTATTTGTTGCGCACCCGTGACGGTTTCGAGTCAGATGACGACCGTTTTGCCCACGCCAAGGCGGTGTCCGAGTCCATCCGCCGGCTCGTCCGCCGCCACGTGCGCCCCCCACCCATCCCGCCCGACACCGTCCTGGGGCAATTCCTCAGACACATCTCGCTCAGAGAGGCAGAGGAGGCACGCGAGAGGCGCCGACACAGCGGCTCCTTCCAGCAACCCGCCGAGGTGTCCACGCCCCCCGCACGGACGGACCGATCGGTCACTCGCGACATCCGCAAGAACTCCTCCGACTCGCTGGTGCTGAGCCCCAACAGGGCGGCGTCTGTGGACCCGGGGAAGCGGCGGTTCATCCCAGTCAATGCCCGTCCGCCTCCACCCCCTTACGGCCTGCGTCCCCTGATGTGGCGTGCTCGCGCGATGCCTGTGCCGTGCTGCTACATGCCTTCTCCCAACCTGCAGATGCCTCAGATGCCCCAGAGCGGACCGGCAGCCATCCCACTGCCCCCGCCCATGCGTGCGATTCCCCGGCCGTGGCGCCCGCCGGGTGCTGCTCCGCCCCTGCCGAACCAGGTGTTGAAGCGCGATGCGAATGCCGACGCACCGGGAACGGCTCGTGTGCGGGGCCGCTCCTTGAGCACTGTGGTCGAGGAGGAGCACGGTGGAGAAGCGGGGAGCAGTGGGGAGGGCGCCATGAGTGAGACTGACGCTTTGCCGTTCAATCAGAACCTCGACGTTGCCATTGGGCAGCTCCTCGACGAGTAGGAGGGCGGGAGGGAGACGCGGGATGCCGCCCACTCATGGTCCTTATCTTTCTGTCTTTCTCCCTTTGTTGTGTCTGTCCTGTCAGGCGTGCTTTTTTGTCGCAAGGCGGCATTCGTCCACCCGCTTCTCTCAGTGACCTAATGTCCTTCATGTAAGCACCGAAACACAGACCATCAGACACCAATGAACCACCCCTCCCTCCCCTCTGTGTGTGTGTCCCACCGTTTCTGTCCTCAGGCCCACCCCGGCCATCCAGGAAGAGCCCACCCACACCAACGCCGCCCCCTCTCTCTCGGACACCACATCACCAGATGTGCAGGCCCGGCAGCTCGTGCCTCCTGCCCCCACCGAGAATATGATTAACGAAGCCACAGTACGACCCCATGACAACCACCCCAACGACCTTCCCAACGATCCCATCATCCCAGCAGTCACGCGCCACATCGTCGGCGGCTCGACGGAGCGTAAGGCCTCCGTGGGCACAGATAGCACCGCTGTGACGGCGCGGGAGAGAGAAAAGGAGAAGGAGAAGGAGAAGAAGCGGCGGTTCACATTCACCCTGAGGCTCCCGTGGGGCAGGCGGGTGGGCATGGGCATGGGCACGTGCGCAGGCAAAGATAAGGAGAGGAACGGCGAGAAGGAGAAGACCAGGAAGGGGATGCGCCGTGTGTTTTCCGGTGTGGGGCGGTGTTTTGGTCGGGTGTAGTTGGGAAAGGGGGAGTGTATTACGGTGCGTGTATTTGTTGTGCTGGCGTCCCCGCATTTCGTGTGTGTGGAATGGGGGCGGGTTTATGTGAGGTGACTGACGTGGATGTATAGTGACCAACTACCACGTTGACGACCCACTTTTTTGCCAGCCAACCGGCCCAGCCATGACACGGCTTGATTCGATCGCTCTATTCACATGCACACGAACAAATGGTTCACTCACTCCACACACACACACACACACATTCATTCATTTGTGCACCATGAACACAACGCACACTGCAATCGTCACAAAACGCCGATCGCCACCCCCACTGCAATGCCACCCCACTCACCCACTCAATCACTGCACCACACACAGGGCGCAATCCCCCGGCCGAGGGCGCCTCTCCGGGCTCTGCTGCGTCGGGCTCTGCGTCAGATCGCTCTGGGCCACGGACACCGACACCTCGATGGGCAGCGTCACCAGCTGACTGTCGTTCTCGCCATGCAGCGACACACTCGCCCTCGTCACCTGGCCCGGCGACACGCATATCGCCGGCTCCCTCGCCTCGCGCTTCATCACCGGGCTGCTCTTCTTCTTCCGGGTCCTTTGGGGGGATGACCGCACATAAATGGTCCGCTTGTGGACCCCAGGCGAGTCGTCGCCCGCACCGCATGCCATACTCGAGCAGTAGCAGCCGCACATGCCTCGCTGGGCCGACCGAGTCATGGCCCTGCGAACCTGGAGGTTTGGCGACTGGTCCTGAATGGCCGGCAGGGGGCGCGACATGGATGGGGGGTGGCCGTCATTGAGGAGCATGGGTGGGGCTGGGGCGGGCGACGGAGGGGTGGGGATGATGCCGTCGGTCGCGTGCAGGGTGAGATCGAAGGGGCGGAGGGTGTCGGTGAGCTCGGTCGTCACGCGCCTCAGCTGCGCCGCCTCCTCCTGAGCACGCGACTCGTACCTGAGCACAAGATACAGAGAAAGGCACAGTGTCTCGGCGGCCATGCACGCGCTTCATTCATGTCGGTGCGCACTGAGTGACTCACCTGTTGAGTGACCTGCGGCTGACCTCCGCCATCCTCTCGAGGAAGTTGGACTGCAGTGTGGTCTCGAAGCTTGCACTCATCAGCACGATGTACTCGCCGGTGGCGGGCGGGGCCTTGGGGCACAGCTCCGTCACTTGAATGACGTGGTAGTTGCCGTGCAAAGACACCTGACATTGGCACAAACACAAACCGAAGTTCGATTTGTTGGCCCTCTCTCTCTCCCCGCCGCCCTGCCCTACCTGTTCGATGAACCAGTCCAGAGTGAAGTCCCTCTCGTAGACGAGCCCCCCCTCCACCTCCTGGGTGCCCTCACCGGCACCACGCACACGCCTCGTAAACGACCCATCAGGAAAACGGACAGGCTGGGAGGAGCGGGAGGAATCGAGCGGCGTCAAAAAGTCACCTGCGCAGCAGACAGAACAAAGCCATTGAAGTGACCCTTGCCCGTCTTCTCGCTTCGTTTCCCTCACCTCTTCGGCCGTTGTTCTCCCACCAGTCGCGCGGCTCCTCCTCCAGTCGGGTAGCGTCATCCACACGCACCAGGTCGGCCCCACGGTGCATGGTCCGTCGGCCCTCCCGCCCATCCTTCTCACCGATGTGGTAGTAGAGCACGGGGGGCGACGTGGGCGACGCCTCGTCCGCACTGCTGCTGCTCGGCGGCTGCGTGCTGCTGCTCCCCGCCGGCAGGATGGCCGCCCTCAGCGTGGGCGTGTTGCCCTCCTCTCCCTCTGGCTCGGGGCTGTCACGGCCGGTCTTGACGCTCGCAGCAGCGGCGGCCGCTGCACCTTTCTTCTTGTGGCCGGATGACGGGCGAGGGTCGTGGAGTGAGGGCACTGGGCTGCCGAGCTGGTCTGCGCGAGGCGGCGGCTCGTCGGGAATGATCTCGACCTCGATGGAGATCTGGTCGTCTGCTGGGCCTATCACGAGGACACCTGTGGATGGGCGGAGCTGCGACTCAGACGACTGGCCGGCATGGGAGTAGCGGCTGCTTGGGCGGGGGTAGCACTGGTGGTGACGCTGCCCGTCCAGGTACAGGTTCACCTGCACAGCAAACACACCCAAGGACACAAAGCAAGGGTTGAATGGACGCACTCGACCAGCTGCGCTCGACTCGCTTTCTCATCTCATTGTCTGTCTCACCCTGGCGCTTTTCTTCTCGTCCGTCTGCTGGTCCCGGACGTCAAGTGCCGCCACAGTAAAGCGCACGTGCGAAGGCCCATCACCGGCTTTGTCAGCCTCCCCGGCCTCCAGACGGCGGCTGCACCTCTCCACGTGTGTCTGCATGAGCCGGAAGTAGGCGACCGCCTCGCCCCATGCCTTGTGCTGCCGGCGGTAGGCGCGGTAGAGCTGGAGGATGAAGCGGGTGAGCTTGTCGCACAGGTCGGGGACGGAGGCGATGGGGCAGTTCTCAGACAGAAAACGCGTCAGGCCCTGCACAGCACATGAGAAAGACGAGGCGGCCGGCATCTCTGTGATGGTTCAGCGTGTCATGACTGGTGGCATCGTGTGTGTGTGACGGCACCTGGTGTCCCTCGCTCTCTTGGTTGAGAAAGTAGCACAGGTCATCGAACTCGGCGGGCCACTGATACCCAGACTGCATCGATCACACAGACACACACACCAGCAGACACAACAGGAGCAAGCGCATCACAGACATCCGTCTCACGAAGTTTGTCACCACTGGCTGCATGCGCGTTGCGCTGCCCACCTGGAAGAGGCCTTCACATTTGCGCTGCACGTTGCTTCGCAGCAGAGCCGTCAGCGTCTCGTCGACCTCCTGCCCGTCCGCTGCACTTCGATGATGCTGAGACGAAACTTGCTGCATCATCCGGCCGCGGACGAGGCAGGCTGACGGATATGTAATCAAGACACTAAGCAGCCTTCCTTGTCAAGCCTTCGATCAAGCATCTCCCGTCGAGAATCTGCGAGCTAAGCTCGGGATTGGATTTGAGCTCGCAAGAGTTCGCGTGGCAGATCTCGCTGCATGTGGTGCATGAGGGCGTTAGTTACGCTCATACAGACCAACCTGGTCCGTTGAGTGGTGACAGTTTCTTGTCCACTTCTCTGCGTGCGCGGCTTTCCTCTTTATCTGTTGCGTGTGTCTTGTTATCGCATCTATCTATCACAGCGTGACCATGCGGGCGCACCGGCGGCACACGCACAGCCGGTCACTGTCGTCGGAGAAGATCGACGTCCGGCACCACAGATCTCGGACGACTATCGGCCTCTCCGCCGGCCTGGCTCCCTACCTGAAGCCAGCTGCTGGGCTGAGAACCAAGAATGAGGCCAGCCCGCGGCAGCAGCGCTTGGAGAAGGAGTGTGCACTCGCCATGAGCACCATGGCCCAGGGGTTTGATGTCAAGGTGGCCGCTGACAACTCTGTCGAGGTGCGTTTAGGCAAGGGAGGGAGGGACGGAGGGAGAGGGGAGGGATGCCTTTCCTGCGGCATTGCTGTGTATGTGTGTGTGTAGGTGATAGTTCCTTCGCTGTTGTTGTCCCGACCTTTGTGGGTCGATATGATGCCGGTGTCTGAGATATCGTTCACCATCATGGCGTCACCTACGTTCCCGGCCGACCCGCCACACCTATTCTGTCAAACGAGGGTGCGCAACGGAATACCGCGCCTGAGGGTACACGTGGGCAGTGTGTGTGGTTCCTTCGTGCTGTTTGTTGGATCCAGTTCTGTTTCCCTTCGTTGGTCGACGGTCGGGACCTTATTTTTGACGTCATGCCTGCACCCTGGTGAGCACGGTACGGCACTGCAGCGCCAACCTTTGCTCCAACAAATGGATGGACGGATGGCTGGTGCAGGGGCTCCGTGTCGTTCGACCAGATCATTCGGGCCCTGCCCAGCTTCATCGGTGGGTACTCAGATGACTAACTGACCCACACGCAGACAGACAGGCAAAGCAGAGCCTCTTTCTTCCCCTGTCTGTCTGTCTGTCTGTCTGTCTGTCTGTCTTTATCTCATCCCAGACCGCGTCGCCACTTGCTGTCCCGCTGCCAACTCAAGGTAAGCACTCAGAAGACACACTTCACTCACCCACTCACCACTTGCTATCCCTGCCATCTATCGGTTGTCAGTTCTGACCCCCCCTCCACCCCGGCCACCCCGGCTCCCATGCCGCTTGAGACGCCCAAAAGCCCCTACACACTCCCACCGGGATTCTTCCGCCGTCGTCTGCCTTCGATGCTTGAGACTTACATCGACCCTGTGAGCGGCCTGTCGATCGTGCCGTGCTTCGAGTGCTCGGAGCTTCAAGCGAGCCGTGAGGAAAAGGAAAAACCCCTTTCCTTCGAGCTGCAGTGGACTGGGAGGCGAGTCTGCAGGATCGACAGAAGGTCGGACAGTTACGGTGTGGGGTGGGCTGATCTGGTCGTCAGTCATATGTGTGTGTGTGTGTGTGTGTGTGTAGGTATTTGTTTCTGTCTGAGGGTGCCTTGTGTTGTATTGAAGAAGTGTGCAAGAAGGGGCGCGCCCCGTCGGAGGGGTCGGAATTCACTGACAAGTGAGTATGATCAAGCAATGTCGCCGTGCCGCCGTGCATCGCTCTTGGATATGGTGTGTGGTGGGATGTGACGTGACGTGATGTGATGTGATGTGTTGTCTTGTGTTGAGCAGTGGCACTGATTCCTTGCAGCAGGCGCCGCGCGAGAAGGGGGACGTCAACGAGTCCACCACGTTGAACTTTGGGCGAGCTTTGGTTCGCTCTGGAACGGATGCCTTGGAGGCGTTGGGCCATCTGGCGATGTGCGGAGAGGTCAAGTTCTGGGGCCACCTGCCGCTGCTCGAACACGTCATACGCAGGGTCAGGAGTGGGTGGGTGGGGTGGGTGGGGTGAAAGCCTGGGTTGGCTTGGCGTGTGTGGATGTGGTGTGGTGTTGGATGGATGGATGCAGGGCAATGAAGTGACCTTTGTGTTCGGCCGGTCGTCGCACAGCAACATACCTGAGGAGATGATGTGTGCCGACAAACAGGTGGCTGTTTGTGGGTGGGTGGGTTGGTGCACTTCACCTACCTACCTGGCTGGCTGGCCGATTCGGTCGTCACCTTACCATCTTTGCTTACGCCATGTGGTGGGGTGGGGTGGGGTGGTGCGGTGTGGTGTGGTTGGTGCAGACCTTGATAATGGAGGTGCCAAAGACCTTCCTGCGCATCCTCGAGGCACACATGGCCAAACTCAAATGCCGTTAGTAGACACAGACAGACAGACAGACAGACAGAGAGAGAAGATCTGATAAATATGCTTGTCGCTCCCACCCCACCCATGTGTGCAGAGTGGACCACTCGTGACGAGACGGAGGGGCCGCAGAGGATGATTCGGGAGGTGGAGTTTGAACGAAGGCAGCTCATTGTGCGAATCCCAAGCGACAGCGCACCCGAAACATGTACCGACACACCGCCAAAGACACAGGAAGACAGCACGACATGGCACCCCTCACCCCAACTTCCTTCCCATTTCTCTCTTTCAGTGGCCAAGAAGACCTACACCTTCACAATGAAGAACACGGGTCTGCCCTTCTCTCGGTCCGCCACGTTTGACGACGTGCGGCTCAACGGCCAGACCACCTGCGGGCGGGAGGAGACCGCCGAGGAGGGGGTGGGCCGTGACCGTGACATCAGCATCATCACCTTGCAACGTCCCGCCGAGGATGCGACCAGGAGTGAGAGGATCATGTGGCGCATGGGCAGGCGCATCCACAAGACCATCCAGCCTCTCACCACGTGGTTCCAAGAGGTAGGTCCATACCTGCAGAAGCCTTCATTCCCTCCACGTGCTGTATGTGTGAAATCGTGTCTGCAGGCGGTCGAGGACGGGTCTCGCGGCATGTCTCGCGCCATCGCCAGCCCCAACCGGTGGCAGCTGTTCGCCCTGGGGCCGACCCTCGAGACGCTCTCTTTCTCCATCATCCTCCTCAACTGCATTGCTGTCGGCCTCGAAACATCACTCAGGTCAGTCGAGATGACAACACGAGATCCCAGTGGAGCGAGGTCGTTGCGCATGGCGTGGATGCTGATTGCAGGGCTCAGCGTGCCCAGCGTCAGAGCGACGAGGAAAATCCGGGGGAAGACTGGCGTGAGCACCGCTACTGGGAGGACGTGCTTCGGATCATCCAGTACTGCTGCCTGGCCAGCTTCGTTGTGGAGATCGCATTCAAGCTGGTGGCACTTGGCGGGAAGTACTTCTTCACCGACCGATACAACACGATCGACCTCTTCATACTGCTCATTACGGTGCCGCCGTGGGTCATCGCGTGGATCATCTACCGCAAACACGGCGGTGGCGGGGAGCACTACGCAACACAGGCGTGGAGGAAGCTGGTCATCCTTCGTGTATTCCGGGCGCTTCGGCTCGCGAGGGTCCTCAGGCACACGGCATTTTTCAAAGAGGTGCGGTGCAGAGAGAGGGAACGGGGGCGACGCAACGCAACGCAACGCAACGAGCGTGTACCTCATGTTTTGTGTCCTCTCTCTGTCGTGTCGCGTGTGTGTGTTTCCATACATCCCCTCCCTGATGCATGCCATGCCATGCCATGCAGCTGTGGATGTTGACGAGCGGCATCACGTACAGCCTGAAGACCCTCCTCTGGGGAGCTTTCATCACTGCCCTGTTGCTGTACGTCTTTGCGGTGTTCGGGACGACCATGATTGCACACGCCCCCATGTACCGGGACTGCCTCCAGCTCCGTGACGAGGATGATCCTGAGTGCACTAACCCCAGGAAGTGCTGCGTGTTGAAGCTGAAGGACGGAGAGGACATCACGAGAGAGGAGGCCTACGAGAGGGAGTACGAGAGGGACTGGCGGGTGCAAGACCATTTCGGGACCGTGGTGCAGTCGATGAAGACGTTGTTTGGGATCATGACACTCGACGACTGGGTGAGGGGTGAGATGGAGTTGGGTCGAGAGACCAAAAGACCTGTGCGTTCTTTCTTTGGAATATACATAATGTGTGTACGTCTGTTTGTGGTGCAGGGTGAGACGGTGGAGGAGGTGATTGAGACGCAGCCGTGGATGTGGCTCTTCTTCGCCAGCTTCATCGCCGTCAGTGTCTTCGCTCTCACCAACCTCATCACCGCCGTCCTTGTCGAGAGCGCCACACACGTAAGAACCCATCCATCCATCCATTCATCCATTCATCCATTCATTGGTCCGCCCACCACGCATCATGATCCTTTGTGTCTTTGGTCAGATCGCCCGTGAGGACGAGGCGATAGAAAAAGAGAGGGCCTTCACAAAGCTGAGGCGCACCCTCATGCGCCTGATCGACGATTTCTACGACCACGGCCTCCACGCGGGCGCCCCCACACGGTCGTCGGGCACGCCCCTGACGCATGACGTCGATATGGTCTCCCGCGCCACACTGAGGAAAGTTATCGCGTCACCTGAGCTAAAGGTGAGTAGACCAGCCCGAAGACGGGCTGCGAGGGATGGACGGACGGACGGATGGATGGATGGATGGGTGTGGTGCAGCCTCTGTTGAAGGTTTATGAGGTTCACGAGCCCGAGTTGGCTCTCCTGGTGGAGGAGCTGTTCGACGGCAGGAGCCACCAGACAATTAGAGTGGATGAGTTTATCTTCGGCGTCCAGAATTTAAGGGTAAGTAGAAGAGACATGCACACAGACAGACAGACAGACAGGGATGCAATGGTGCCCCCATCGCCTTTCCTTTGTGATTTCAGGGTCCCGCCAAGAGCAAGGATCTGTTGCACCTGATGGGCAACATCAATGCCAACAAGGAGGCCATCATCAAGATGCACAACGAGCACAAGAGCCTCCTCCGGGCACAGCAGCGACAAGTCATGGCCAGCATCAACGAGCTCAGGGACACCCTCGCGTAAGCAAGAAGCATCACACACGCGCGCAGAGATGTCAGGCAGACGGACAAGGACGCCTGTCTCTGCTTTCTCCCTTCCTCCCTATCCTCCCTGCCTTCAGGGTTCTCTCCCGCGACACCTGTTCGATCTTCACGAGCGACACCTTGACCACCCCGGGTCAGGGTGCGACTGTGGCTCCCGTGCGCGCCATGTCCCCCGGCCGACACAGGAGCCCCGACAGCTATGGAGGGTGCAGTGGCGGTGGCAATTTCCTGGACAGCATCTCCTCGCCCGTGCGGACGTCGACGGAGACGATGGGAGGGGGGAGGGGGGTCACGACGGGAGGCCATCGGAACACCACAATCCACCGATACGGTGGACGGGGGAGGAGGCACAGATGAGGATGGGTGAGGGAAGGCCTGAGCGGTTTTGTGTGTGGGGTTCTACCCTACTTTATAATAAAAGCACGAGTGCCCGGAGAGTGGTGCCCGACTGGTCTGTCTTCCTGGCTGTTTACAAGGGCAGGGCCTGTGTCAGTCAGGCGTCCGTGTTTGCGAGTGTTTGTGTGTCATGTCATTCGTTGGGGGGGGGCATGGCGGGTGCTGTGGGGCGTGGCGTATGTCCGCGCGTGGCGTGTTTTTGCACATATGGCCGGAGGGACACATTTGCAGCCTCCTTTGTGTGAGTCTTGCAGTGTGCAATGTAACGTGGTCGATGATTGGGGTGGCTGCCCGGCGTGGGTGGGGTGCATTTCATGGGTGGACGATCACGTACGTGTTAAGAGCGAAGGATCGAATCAAGAAGGTCCATCGAATCAGGCAGGCATGATTGCCAACATGATTGCAAACCATAGCCAACCAGCGGCCGGCCAGCCACAGCACTGAGTAGTGCAGTCCAGTGAGGACAACACACCTCCCCCCGTGCCGACTCAGTCGATGTGGGGACAGGACAGCCACCCCAGCTGCGCTCGGTTAAACACAGCTGAGGCATCTGTACCCTCGTCACCCAATCCAATCCGACGGCAGGGAAAAGGTCATCAATCAGACCAGACCGACTAGCCACCTTTCCCATATGTGCATCCATCCATCCATCCATCCGGTGGCGACGCCCTGCTCTGCCCATCCGACCGACCGACAGGCATCGCATCCATCCTTCTCGCGGGCGGGACAGACAGACATGCAGTGCACGGCAACAAAACTTTGCTTGCGCGCATTGCATTGCATCGCAGCCAGTAGTGTTGAGTAATCAGTCGGCCATTCGCATCCACACACACACATACACATGCACCCCCGACACATCAATGCTCTCTGTCTCCCGTCTCACGCTCAACAAATTCCTGGTCGCATGCAGGACATCGCCCACCCTGCGATGCTGATTAGGCTGATGCCCTGCTCTCTCTCTCTCCCTCTCTCTCTGGTGCTGATGCATGTGTGTGTGGGTGTGGGTGGGTTTGGATGGCTTGTGCGATGGGTGGATGCCATGCAGCGCCTCTCTCCCTGTCTGTCTGCTGCTGATGCTGGTGCATGCACCAAAAATACACACACTTTGCCGACCTGTCAGGCCAAAAAATGGCGTGACCAGCGACCGACACCGCTTGTAGGGGTGCCGCCATGCCCTCCCCTGACAGAAGCATGCAGCCAGCCAGCCCACCATAAGCAAGCAAAGCAAACAAGTCGAAAGGGATCAGATCCGGCTTGTTAGTAAAAACCATGGTCAATCAATCGGCCATGCGCGCAGCACACCAACACACTGCATCAGCATTCATTCACATCAGCGCGCCACGACGATCGACCATTTGTCCAAAAATGACCCACACGCCACCAATCAATCACATGAGTGTCTTCTCTCTCGATCTGTCCGGCCATACGCACCGCAGTTCACCATTCGGCCATCCATCCATCCAGCCGTCCATCCAGTCGTCCAGGCAGCCGTCCATCAGGCAGCCTCATCCCGTCACGTCACGCCAGCATACCCAAAAATACCCACCCATAGGCAAATGAAAACGACAAAGAGAACCAACCGCTCACCCAACCCACCATCGACAGCCAGCACCACAGACAGCGCACACACGAGAGAGTCATCCGTACGTATAAAAAGACGAAGGCCGGTCCATCATGGCGAGGGAGGGAGTAGCTGAAGGCTAGCTGGCCGGCTGGGGCAGACAGACAGGGTGGTGAGGGAAGGAGGAAATAGAAATAGAGGGAGGGAGGCACTATGTGGAGGTTAGGTTGTGTCTGTCACATCACATACATGAACACGACCACCCTGCCTGCCTCGCCGACTGACCACCGCACATGACATGCACCGACCGCACCGATGGTATCCGGACCATTTCTGGGTAGAACCGTAGGTAGGTAGGTACTGCACCGCATTCCATTCCATAGCATTGCAGCCCCACCCCCGCCCTTTGCAGCCAGCTGGACTGACTTGACCGTCGCAACCACAACCGCCGACCCACCCTCAAGGCATGCCCCATCATCCCACCCACCCCACCCCACCCACCCTTAAGTCAAGGCAAGGCAAGCCACAGGTCACTAGAAGACATGGAACATCTGCCTATCTACCTACACAACACACAACACATCGCAAACACAGCATGCACACTGTGACACTCACACATCAGTTAGGTAGGAGCTAGAAGCATTAGCCGGTCAGTCAGTCAGTATGAGATGCTTTCACGCATGGAGTGCACCTTTATGCATTCACCAGAGAGGGCGCCGTGTCCGTCAGCACAGCAGCTGGGGGAGGGAGGGAGACAGACAGAGATTGAGGAGCTCGCCCACTTGCCGACAGACACAGCAGAGAGGCACAGAGTGTGGCACACACACACAGACAGACAACCAGACAGGCAGACAGACAGACACGCCGGAGCTTCAGGAGGAGAGGGGCGTAGGCATACAAGTACACAAAGAGATGGGCAAGGAAGTATTACGCACATAAACTTGTGTAAAGAGTATATCGAATTGAATTCTCTCCCCCCGCAGTAGTCCCATTCGTGTGTCTTGTGTAGAAAGTGGAAGCACGGCAGAACGTCCAAACGTCAAGACAGTTCGGAAGGCCAAAGCACCGCCCGGAAGACGTGAAGGCGCAGCCACTCGCCTCGTTCAGGGAATGGCCGGCCCACCCTCCGCCCGGATCACGCCAGTGGGTCGAGAAACATGCACCCAGACGGACAGACTTCTCTCGCTTGGCACCCTCATCTAAGATGGCAACACGACACGAGGCAAAACGGTGAGACAGACAGACAGGCAGACAGGCAGACAGACAGGCAGGCAGGCAGGCAAGAAATAGACTCCTTAGGGCAGGTCATTAGTAATGATGGCATGTGTCTGGTAGGCAGACAGCTGGCCGCGTGTTGTGTATCGTGCATTGCATCGTCCCATGAGACAAACAAATAACAAAGGAAGGCTCTCGGCGAGCTCGCTCGCACCCTGGGCAGGGCAGGTGCGCTCACGCAATCCAATCAATGGCACAGGCGACAATACAACGACGATCGGTACGATAGTACACGACGGACGGCACTCTCAACACTAGGCAGTCAGAAGGAGAGAAAATGGGAAAGGTAGGTTCAAAGGCGAAAAGCGGCATAGCACTCAGATACCTTTCTGTCGATCGTTCGTCCACCGATGGAACAAAACATCCGGGCGGACGACGCGAGTGAGCAGGTCGAGTCGACGTGTTGTGGTGTGTGAGGAAGGAACGTGTGGGAGGGGAGGAGTGGGGAGCGGGGGACCTTCGTCCGTCGCCCCCCACACCCTGCTGCAGATGTGATGATGTGTGCAAGAGCATGTGTGTATCATATCGTATCGATGAGAGAGTCCGCAGGTAGGTAGAGGAGTTATCAAACGACAGCAGGGCAGCTCGGTTATCAAACGACAGCAGGGCAGCTCGGCAAGTGCGGAAAAACACCTATCGCCAGAGACCCTCGCTCGCTCTCCCTCCCTCCCCCCCCCTCCTCACTCAGTCAGTCAGTCAGTCAGTCATACCGTCCACTCCACCTTTGCCATCTGCCGTGCCGTCTCGCCTCAGAGACCTCGGCCAAAAAATGCCCACCAGCCAGCCAGCCAGCCAGCAGTGCACCCCGACATACGCAGAACTACACTCACAGCAGCTGTTGTTGGGGTACTGTCTGTACTGACGATTAGAAAAGTTCCAGAGTTGGCGGCGGACATCCCTGAGGGCGCCGGTCCGTCCGGCTGTGTATGTACTTGCCGCGATGGGCTCAAAACGTGGCTAGGCTAGCTTGGCTGGGTAGGTAGGATGAAACAAATATATTACGTTAGTTTACTTACGGGGGGCATACACACCGCATACATATGTAGCACACAACACGTTGAATGACACAAGACAGTCAGTCAGTCAGTCGAGAGGGAGAGGGCCACACTCACTCATCAACGTAGATATCGATCGATCGATTTGTGCATGTCCGTGCAGTGCCTATGGACGTATTCATGCACGCGCACAACCACAACCGCACCCACAACCTACCCCTCCCCTCCCCACCCCATGATTAAATTCCAGGCAGCGCAAGGGCCGCCCCCGCCCCGCCCCGCCCCCATTTACCCATCCATCCGTCGCCCGATCGCCTAAGGGGGTATGTAGGCTCGGCACACCCCTCCCCCCTCCCCCCCTGCCTCCCTCCCTCCCTCCCTCCCTCCCGGCATCATCTATATTTAATTGGCACCAAACACACACACACATACACACACGCAGGCACATCCTTCTCCTCCAACAAAACTAACACACTTCCGCACACACACAGAGACAGATCAAGTGAGCCAGAAAGTAGGAAAGCCAGTTGAGTACGTGTACGCAGTAGATAATTCATTCGCAGCCAGCCGGTGTGTGACGTGTGTGGTAGGTAGGTGTCGTGGGTGTGATGGTAGGGTAGGTGACCTGCCTCCCTGCCTCTCCTGTCTGTCTGTTTGTCTGTCTGTCTGGTGCGTAAGTCCGCTTAACAAATGTACACAGCAGCAGGGCAGGCAGGGGTTAAGTTGAGGTATTGATATAAACTGACTAAAGCCGCCCGCCCCAATCCGCCCGAGGAAGCAATTGATTACTTACGTATGCAGCTAGGTAGGTATGTGTGTAGGTATGTAAGTAATGCAATCCAGATCAATCAACGACACCACATCCGCCCACCCATTGATTACCAGCGTCCGCTGCGCAAGTCAGTCCCCCCCAGCCATTGAGCTACACACACACACACACACACACAGATGCATGGACGAACAAATTGTACGAAGCACAGGCAGACAGACTTGCAGGCAGGCCAGGCCGGAGGGGGCGGGCGGGGGCGGGGGCGGCGCACTGTGCTGTGCCGCATCGCATCGTGTGTCGGTTCGGTGTGGCTACGGCACCCCTCAATCAAAACGCTGTTCATGTGCCACCCACCGTATCCATCAACGAGCCTGGATGGATGGATACATTTGCTCATGCATAGCTACGAGCGCCCTCGATGACGGACGGACTGAGCGATGGCCGAGGACCTCAAAGGCGAGCAGTTGGCCACCACAAACCTGCTGCCCGCCTCAGGTCGGCAGCGCACCGCTCAGTCGGTCATTCATCTGGGTCGTCGTAATATGACTGACTCAGTATGGTAAATACTAACTGCCAACGAGAGACACCACGCCCTCCTCCTCGCTGAGCTGGACTGGGCTGAGCTGAGCTGAGCTGGCTGAGCTGAACTGGGCTGCGTGGCTCTCTTGAAAGCACGCCACAGTGTGTCATGCATCCACGACCACTAGAACAGTCAGTCGATCAGTAAACACACACACACACACACACCCCTTCACAGCCGGGTCAGTCCGCGTACGCACATCCGCGCCATGCACCCACGCCGCGCCAGTCGGCCACCCATTCATCCATGCCTGTGGGTCCGTGTGTACTTGCTGCGTAAGTGCGTGCGGACCGGGAGGCCCTTGTTGGCCTCCCGCCCTTCGCGTGCCGCCTTCACGCAGGCAGGCAGGCCCCCCAATGCAAAAAGGTCCGGGAGAAGGTGTGTAGTGCTGTGTTTAGGGTATGTGACACTCGGCCGGCCATTTCGCTCGCTCCCTCGCCCATCCTTGCCCCCCTCCATCACTCAGTCGCAAGCAAGACAGAGAAGAGAATCCCACCCCACCCCACCCCACAGCATGCACTAGCGCTAGGCACTCACTCAGAAAGCGATAGTCAAAACGGTCACACACACACACACAGATGAACACGCACCCATTCACCGTTCATTCAGTCATTCCTGTGTCCATTCATTGCATTCATTGATCCATTCATCGGCACACAGCAAACAGCACGCACCAACAGCCGCAACCGCAACCATATCAGCAGCACGACCACCAGCAGTAGCATCACCTTCAGCGGCCTCCATCCATCCATCCATACATCCATCATCAGACAAAGAAACACAAAGGGAGCCAGACCGATCGAGTGCACGGCTGGCTGGCTGGCTAGCTGCATGTGTGTATGTGTGTATGTGTGTGTGAGACCGAAGTGCATCGCATCCGTCCACGCGCAAAATACCCGACATACCATACCGCTCGACAAAGGGATGGACGGATGCATGTATCTATCGTATCATGACTCCTTGACTGACAGCTCGGAAAAATCGAAAGAACCGAACCGACCGACCCCCCCCCCCCCCCCCC